AATGCTGAATTTTTCTCATAGAGGTGCATTGATTGAATGCATTTCTATGAGGAGGTGCTGATTGGCAAAAACGGGGTGTTTGGCCATGCCGATTTTAGCCAATCCAAAGCTTTCCCATGGATTGGCTAATCATTGTCAATTTTTTTGTCACCAAGGGGGTGGGGCAGCACCGTTGGACCCATGGAGAGCTGGAAATAAGGTGAGTTTACATTTTTATAAGGGGGCAAGCCACCTAAATGGTGGGTTTAACACTATATGGTCAGGAATACATGTTTGTGTTCCTGACCCTATAGTGTTCCTTTAACCATATAAGTTATGAATTGAAAAGAAGAAACCACAATAATCAATAAATAAAATATGCTTTATTATACAAATAAACTATATATATAAATATATATATATATATATATCATATACAATCAAAAATTTTGTATATACACACACAAACATCGAAAAATCTAATTCACAATTTAGAAATTTTACACTGTGCATTGAAAAGCTGTTCCCTTTCAATATATGTTTATTTTACATATACACAAGAGCCGTTATCTTTATAATAAATAAATATATATTTTGTTAGGTGCACTTTAGGAATGAAAATGTTGCTCAGAGTGCTTTGTTAATGAACAATACATCTCTTAGGAAAAAATGAAACTAAGGTTATGCATTTATAGAAACATAGAATGTGATAGCAGATAAACTTGTACAATTTTGAAAATTAGGTCATGTAATTCAATAAGGCCAACAGACCTCATGACACACAGTGCCAGGATAAATACCACACATGTTTGATTTTGTAGTTAGTACTAGTAAAATAGTTATTTTAAACATTCGTGACACCAATTACAAAGTGGCTGACAAAGCACATGACTAACTAGTACTACTAACCAGTAGAGAGGATAACAAGCCTAAAAGCATGGATGCAGCACATGCATAGAATGATATTGGATATGATAAAGGACATTCAAAGATTTAGATTTTAAATTATATAGTGGGGATTTTTGGTCAATCATAAAAACCAACATGGCTGGCAGACCATATGATATATAGGCTTCACAATACAAATTGCAGAGCACACCATAACTTATCACCACGTTGTTGTAAAGAATTTTTGATTGTGAAGTTTTTTACAAATGCACTGTAATATCAGTTAAGATTTCAATACAGCTGCCAGTCAAACCACATAACTAATTGACCTTTACAGGTGAAACGAGCATAAGAGCATGCACACAGCAAGTGCATAAAACTAGCATACAACGTATTATACATTTTACATGAGCGTCAAAGTAAAAAATGACCTTTGTGACCTTGTACCCCTATGTGACCTATGGCATGGTTATTGCATAATCAAATTTCTTTAACAATAAATGTTATAGTTCAGTAGTGAAATATATGCACCTTCATGCAATTGGTGTTAATATGTGTGCCAAATTTCACATTGTCCTAACAACTGATTTTCAGCTTAAAATGTTCTTGCATGAAGAGTTTCAAATAACATTTCTTGCATGACTATGTCACAACAACATGACCATGCACAGCAATATGTAAATCTGTAGCACAAATGGTTCTGGAAAAGCAGATGTTTTATGGGACCTATGACTATTTGGTTGCAAAGGATATAGAGCACTATAGGACTCTAAAAGAAAATAAAAACAAACAAAAAGGGGGAGTGCATGGGCACTTTTCATTTAATTTACTGGGACCTCCGGTCACGAGGCCCTCGTCTCCGCCGGTGGCTGCCTTCTCTGGTCCCTGGACGACTCATCAAGGATGGTCCTGGTGGGGTGGAGGATATCGGTTCGGACTCCGATGATCCAGACGATGGAGAAACATGGCGCACGATTTCATCAATAATGGAAACTCTCATGTGCTCCATCGCCTGGCGCTGCTCTTTGCTGACCCGGGACACCACACGGTTCTTTTCGGCCGACAAGATGATGGCCCAGGTCTGCCTCATTATGGCCCTGGTCTGCCTCCTTATGGCCCGAACCATATCCTCCATCAGCCGCATGGATCCTCCTGGGCCAGGTGATGACTCCGACTGAAGAGGTGGCAGTGGCTGGACAGGTGGTGGTGTGATTGGTGGCTCTTGTGCCGTTACACTGTGGACAGTCTCAAAGACAGACCCTGGGCCCATTTCCTCCTCCAGGGAGCAGGCAATAGATTCTGAGGACAGCGCCGCCTCAATCACACTGTCCTCATGTGATGGGAGGACATGTAACTGAAGCGAGCTGCCCTCTTCGCCTCTCCCAACAGACTGCATTGGACCTGAAATAGACACAAGATAGGCAATGTTATTAATATGCAAACAAATTGATTTGTGGACATGTTGTAGACATTACTACATGTGGCTGTGTCACTACTATCTTTTTAATAATCTATAGTGTATTTTTTTTAATGTAAAAAGAATAGTGTTACTCTAGGAAATATTGAAACTTCTATCTAAGGCGGATTTATAGCAATGCTAATCATTGCTAATTGTGCTACCAGTTAAAGGAAAACTATAGCGTTAGGAATACAAATTTGTATTCCTAATGCTATCGAGCCCTAGTCACCGTTTATAAATTAACTATTTATTTGCTTACCTAATCCAGCGCCGGGCTCCCTCTGCACTGGTGACCTCTCCATCGACGTCAGCTTCCGAGTGGAGCCGAAAGCGCATGTGCCGCCAGAAAAGTGTGATCACTTTTTTTTTTCTCCATGTAAATCGCAGAAGCGGCCTCTAGTGGCTGTCAAGCAGACAGCCCCTGGAGGCTAGATTAAGCCTGCAGTGTAAACAAAGCAGTTTCTCAGAAACATGTTTTAAGCTGCAGGGTTAAGACTAGGGGGACCTGCACCCAGACCACTTCATTGAGCTGAAGTGGTCTGGCTGCCTACAGTGGTCATTTTAGGAGATAAAAACTGTATCTGGTTAAAAATATACAGTAACTCTGCTGTATAATATCTATGTATGCACTTGTATGATATTTTCTGTATATACAAGCACAACATTAATGCATTTATAATTGTACTGTGATCTTAGTACTACCTGAGAATGTATAATTGTCTGATAACTAGTGTTAGAGCTGATTTGAGAGTGTGTGTGTGTGTGTGTGTGTGTGTGCGAAGATAGATTCGGATTATGAACTACTTTAAAGTGTTTTATATGGTAAGAACTCATCACTGTGTGTAATGCATAGGTAATAATGGCGTGTCATGTTTAGATGCAGTTTCTACTTACGTGGAGGAGAAATGGGCCCAGGTCGCCTTTCAGAGGGTGTCCCTTGTGGGATACGGAAGTCTGTTAAAGATGGATGAAAAGTGCACATAAGTTTTTAAGGTATCCAATAATTAAAATAAAAATAATTTTGCGCATCAATATTCCAATAGTAATTTTGTATATGCCATTTTGGGATTTCAGCAGATATTTGACCTTTTGTGAGTAAATCTTAGACTAATCTGGCTATTGAATTGTCTACTGGAGGTAAAGGGAGACTTGGGAGTGAAGTGAAAAAGCAATTCTATCAGTTCTTTAAGCAAATTCTGCATAGATTGACTGGATTAGCAAGAAAGGCATTGTTTAACGAGTTAATCCAACCATCATGACAACTCCAGTGATTTGAAGTGGTCATGGTGTCTGGAGTTTGCATTTACAGAGTCTCGCTGGGAAGCGCTGCACATACAGAGATTAAGCCCTTTACTCCCAAAGGTGTAACTCTACCACTGCTATGGGAGAGAGCGGAAATATAAAGTGGGGGATTAAAGAGAAATCTGTTTGGAGAACATTTCTGTCAAACATGGACACAGTATTCAGGATATGAAGTGTTTGGCACTCTTTTTGGGGGATCGTTCAGCACCCAGAGGGAGAGAAAAATATGGGAGGTCAAGCCAATATGCCAGTTTAAGGCCTTAAGAGAGACAGTGAATTTATTTCACAATATAACTTTACTAATTAATAATCTTTCTACAAACCCTGGATTACTCCAGTGAACTGATTTCAAATGGCAAACATTTGACACTTTCCTGTATCTGGCATGTGTCTAATTGTTTTATTGTCCCCCTAACCAGGGAGTGGAGTGATCAGGGATGCTCTGACCAAACTGATTTTATCTGTTGGATTTCTGTAGAACTGGCTAATTTACTGCAGAGAACATTCTTTAATACCCTGTCTTTCATGCCTGCCCCTCCCCCTTCCTTGTTTTCTCTCTCAAAGTCGTTAACTATTAGGAATTGTGTTTTAGTGATATAATTTTAACTCTACTTGTTTCCTGTTTTTCAACGGCTAACACGGTACTATTTGAACTATTTTGCTCACCAGCTCGCAGCTGCACAGTTGGCTCTTCCGTATCCACAGCACCAAGACTCGGGACAGCCTCTGAAAGGAGCCCGTCTTTGAGACGAGTCTGCCACTCATTGAATCCCACAGCGGACTGCGACATCTTTTTCACTGGCAATCATAGTACCTGTAAAAAACAGCATTAGTTATTAAGTACATAAGAATTTGACAAAACGTTAATAACCTCTTATTAAAAATATGATGGCTTGCTTCCACTATCAGGTTAGCCTTCACACTTACTGGGGAGTATAAGATTAAATAATAATCTGGGTAGAATTTTTCAATAACATTTCTGTGGCGAAACCGGCCTCGCCACGTGTCCTCGGAGGGGGCTGCTTGCCCGCCTCTTGCCTTTGGACTATGGACCAGACTTTATGTGAATGTGTTAACCCAGATAGCTATGCCATGGAGCCCATTCGTGTAGTTAAAGACTTCGGCTCCATGGCAATTGAACTGTGTGAATAGGATCTGAGCGCTATTCGGTAGTTTTGTGCACTCAGATCCCAGCTATCTGGGGATATGTGACATGTCTGTGTTTTATGTATAAAATGTGACTTTGTGTATTTTATAATATTTTAATGCTCTGTGCTCACCATGTGCATAATGGAGTCTTGTGTCTGTCCTGGGAGATAATTGAATTACTTCTCAATTCAATCTCCAGGATAGAAGATTCTGAAACTGGTTTGAGCCGGAAAGCCATGCTTCATTTAGTCACAAAGGACTTTCCCTTAACTTTTGAACCCCTGGTCTGATTCGTGACATTTTTTAATATGTTGTTCCCCTGAATGGATTGATTATGAAAATGTTTGTTTTATGTTTGTGACATGTATATTTTAGAAGTTATAAATATTGTGTAAAAACTGTATTCCTCTGCCGGTGATAATGAGATTACCCATTGTGTTCAGTAATCATATCGCAGGCAGAGGGGAGGATTTTGTGTGGGAGTGTCTGGGTGTATTGTACGGATTGATTGGTTGTTTTGTAACGCCCTGTGGGCTGTACTATGTTTGTGGATTGGGAATAAAAGAGACTGTATGTGACAGTACAAAACTTCCTGTTTTAACCCTCAAAGTGAAGTGTCGTCTCATTATTGGGGGAAGGATTTATTGTATGCTGTTCCAGTTTGACTGCTAGGAGAGTAAACCTATTCGTATGGTTCCTATTCAACTGTCTACAGCATTCATATGCTTGAGAGCATTCATATGCTCCTATGGTTCGGTGGTTTTGGTGTCTGCTGCAGTGCTTGGAGTCCTCAGGAAGCGCTAGGAGCATCCTTCAACGGAGGTACCCAGTCGGGGTGCCAGGCGATCCGTTACAATTTATTTTTAAAAAGTCTAGGTTTTTAAAGACTGACATTAGAAGTTGCATTGAGAACGGAAACAAAGATACAAAGAGCATGTTTATTCTACATTAAACCTAGGCAGACACTAATTTACATTTACATTTGGAGAGCAAAAAACGGGTCGCAAGAATATTCTGAGAACGGACAGCAGCTAAAATAGCCTGCCCTTCGGTGGGTCCGCAGACACACACACACACACACTGCTGAGTCCATACACACACAGACTGCTGAGTCCGCACACACACAGACAGACTGCTGAGTCCATACACACAGACTGCTGAGTCCATACACACACACACACAGACTGCTGAGTCCATACATACACACACAAGCTTCCTCACTAGCAGACACACACACACACCTGAGCATATCAAGCCTACCTGTCACTGGAACCTTTTGCTGGGGGTCAGACATCCATCTTCCATCCTGTCCAGCAGCAGCAGGGTCTGCTGCTTAACGGTGGGAGGCGGGGCTTATGTGCAGGAGGCGGGGCTTTGTTTGGGGGCGGGGCCTATACCCAGGAGCCTGTCAGTGTTCCCTCCAGCCACAGACAACACCCAGCACCCAAGTCCTGCATTCCCTCGGGCTGTCACAGACTGTTACAGCCCAAGGGAATATAATTTTAAGCACAGCATATGGCCAGGAAGTTGCCAGCGTTTGGGGGGGCCCAAGAGGGTGAACAGTGGTCACAGACATGTTGCATAAACAATAGAATGTTGTGCCAAACCCACAAAAATGACCAGAGGATGCCTACTACTTCGCCTCTAATTTCTTATTTCCAACTCCCAGGTTACTTAGCTATATAAAAATACTTGTCTCTATTCCAATCTACCAAATATGTAGAGTAGCCTTGTACATGGCGAGAAAACCACTTTTCTGGATGACTGAATTTCGGCCGTATGTTAGTTCAGCTTTGCAGAATTTCAGTACCTAAAAATCGATTCAAGAACCAAAAGAGTGAGAAGAGTACTGCAAAATATATACATTATATTATATATATTTAGCAGTAGATTGATTAAAGAATGTTCTGCAACTTAGTTCACAGTTCAAGTGGAAAAAAGTAACCAATATAGAGTGAAAGAGAGGAGCAATAAATTTATTTTTTATAATTTATTTAAAATGTATGTAATGTAGGGGGGCGGAGCCGAGAGCTGGACCTGAATGGTCGTACCATCACAGAGCTCCGAGCAATTGACGCATAATCTATGCCAACCCGAGACCCTAATGAGCCATCGGATGACTCAAATACCCACGTGGGCACCCCCTGAGAACAAGCCACAAGCGGATGCCTTTTCTGTTACCGCAAACGGGTAAGAAGACCCAACGGAGAACTAGGGCCTACCTGGCGTTCCAAACCTTGAGGTTCGAGTCAGAGATCAGGGCACAGGGTACACGCAACAACACCCGCCTACTGACTGACCCCACAGAACCGGAGAGGCACACTATGGGCCGAAGGACCCAAAAGCCGCCACCAACCACCAGCAGAGACATACAAGACATAGGTGACCTGCTACAGCGACCGATGGCGCCCAAGATGGCGACCCCGCTGGAACGCACACTGGGCCCTCCAGAGGAAGGTGAGCAGACTGGAGCTGTACCAGAGCCA